GGGGGGGGGGGGGGGAGGTATTAAGTGGGATTGTCCTGGCTCAGCGCCCCAGTGCTGCTGCAGAGGTGTAATAAGTTTTGAGGAGATAATGAGTCCGGTCTCCACCTCACAGAGTTCTGCTGCACCCCCTCCCCTTCCTTCAGTTTTATTTCCCATATTTCAATATGCAGATGCAGAATCTAGCTTATCTCCATATATACGACCCAGGGGACGCAGCTTTCCCTGAAAAACACGAGGCGTTCAGCTCCCAACCCCTCTGAGTGACTCTGGAAACAGACGCTCTATTGTTGGAACATCATTTATCTTTTCTTTCTGTCCTGCCTTTGATATCTCCAGATCTGACACAGTCACACTTTAGCAGGATGAGAAACTGTTTCACAGGCTTAAGAAATTATGAGAACATATCTGTACACCTTCAATAATACAATGGGAAAATAACAGAAAGACAGAGAAGATTTCATATCCTGCCTCATCAAGGCCACTTTCTGCAATAAGAGAGCTTAAAATTAAACCCTGGATCAATGTTGGTGTTAAATGAGCTGATGTTGACCTTGCAGCATGTTTCTTTGTTTACTCCAACAGAAACGTCTTTCTTTCTGCTTGTGATGGGTGGTGTGTGAGTGTCTCCTCCTGTTTAATGCATGTGCACATAGAGATGTGAGGGCACGACTTACGTTCAGGGCGTTCTTCGCTGCCTCGGCCTCTGATCTGCTGTCAAAGCTGACAAAGCCTACCGGCTGGGGAGAGACAGAAACACGCTTTAGGCAAAAACTGAGTCGGCACTTCTGTCTGAGTGACAGAGACATGGTTTTATTATTTGTCACACACACACACACACACACACACACACACACACACACACACACACACACACACACACACACACACACACCACCTCTCTGGTGTGTTTATAAAGAGAGGAAGGCTGGACGCTCACTTTGTCCAGCACCCTTCATCATCCAGCTGAACTATGCCCAAATACGGGCATTTAGAGGCAAACAGAGGGGGGCCCAAGAAAGTGCATAAAGAAGGGTTTAGAGGTGAAAGTGAAAGATCTGTGTTATTAATATTTTTAATATGAATGTGGAGCCTATAAGAGACTCATGTCACATCTCTAACTGCTGAAGATTTAAAAAAAGACTGCAGGGTGTGTGTGTGTGTGTGTGTGTGTGTGTGTGTGTGTGTGTGTAATCTCTAAATATGTTGCTCCCATGAGGCTCTGCTGCTGTTCCGTGTGATCTTGAGGAGGAGGAGGAAAGGAGAAGAAAGATGAAAAAAGACGTGAGGAGGAGGAGGCAGCGTAAGAGGAATATAAATAGAAAGGTCTGGGATCGGGCTATATATGGAGACGACTGCTCAGGGACCGGGAGACGATCGATTGATTTACAGAAACTTTTTTGAAAAAAAAAACAAAGCGCACATCTGTCAGGAGGAAGGCGGCCATTACGAAGGAATGAGGGTCTCACTTATTACTTTAACAGGAACAACTTAAAGTGAACCCTGAGAACATCGCCTGCTTCAGGGAGTGGATTTGACTGAGAGTAGTGACAACACGGTGCACTGCGGTACACAGTGACATCACTGCAGCAGGGTGAAAAGTCAAGCATCAAGACGTTCAGGGGGTGTTAGTTGGGATACCCTCTATTTTAAGCAGAAATATATTAACTCTGCTAATTATCATGGGTGCTAATAGCCTCCTGAAAGTCTTTGACAGCATGCATGCACAAGGAAAGAAGTCCCATAATGCAGCGGGGTTTAGCTGTAGTGTAATCTTTGTTCTTAGATTTGTGGTATTACTCTCGGCACTGTAATCGCTCTAAACCCTCGTAACGAGCTGTATGGAAACAGTGTAATGTGCTCTTGATCACTGACACCTGTCAGCCCGGCTCATTTTCAGTCCCCCCCCACCCCCCACCCCCCAGGCAGAGTTGTCTCTGCTGCTGACACTTCCCCCCCGATCCATCCCACCGGGGTCCAGTGTGTGACTGCAAGCAGACTCTCCCCCGCCACAGGCAAGTCCCTGCAACAGCTCAACCATCACCAAGATACTTCCTGACAGAGGTGCTAACCCGTCATCGTCCCGACAGAAACACACACAGGGGAGGAAGAGGAGGTGTAAAGCACAGAGGAAGGTGTGACGTGCATCTGTACATACCTGTTTAGATGTGAGTTTTATCAAGGAGCCTTCATATCCCTGCAACACAGAGAGAACAGACTTTATTCAGCGTATGCTTCACCAGCTCTAGGGCACTTTCACAATGTCTTTTATGTGTTGGTATATCCAGTTTAAGCATCATTGCTATTACTTTTGCATAGCGTTGTCAGTTTTATCAATCTTTACTTGCCAAATAAACAATTTTTAAGCTTTTAAATGAACCGTTATTAAGATATTACCGTTTTTTTGTGCAAGAAACTAAACATTTAGATTAGCAATATGTGATTACTTTATCCAAAAACATTAGTTTGAGAATTTACGGCGACGTTTGGAGCTATGAGGAGCTGCTGGCTGTATGAGAGAGCCCGGCCTGCTTAAAAAAACATAAACAATGTTTGGAGAATGACTCTCACTGCCTGAACGGTAGACACGGGTCAGAACTGTAAGACCATAGGATGTAAATAATAATTCTGATTTAAATTACCACCAACTTGGCGATAGCTAACTTTTGGGCCATTGACATATTCATCCTGCACTCACTAACAGAGGATGGGTGCTGTAAAACCCATGTGATCTGTAAATGATGTCAGAAAATGTATTCTTTACAATAGTGCTAACGCTAAACCAGAATAACTAACACATAATAGTTAGTACCAGGCAAAGCGGGGAGGGGCTATATAAGGTGAATATATATAATTTCTATAAAAACATTATTATTACAGATGTAATCGGACCTGATATAAACCATTTACCCACAGTACATACCATCAACATTTCTACATGCATAGCTGATGTGGCATTATTCCCTTTAAGCCACTAAAGCTCATAATGGTTGGGCGATGTTGCAGAAGGCTTGCAACAACTCCAACATGCAGTGACCTGAAGTAACCTCTGATTCTGTGTGTGTCGGGACAGAGTTTCTGAGGTGAAGCAAACAGCTTTGTTTTTCTGTGGCAGGCAGCATTTTTCCATGACACACACAGAGGTGCACTTCCTGTGGATAAGATGTATTGAAGCCGGGCTTTAGGAGCACTTGCAGCTCTGCCATGTTTCCTCACCATTCATGGAGTCCATGCAGAGAGGAGCTTCCAATAATAGCTAAGAAAATACAAACATACCTTAAAAGGTCTGAAGAGGAGGTAGAGCTCGCGAGGCTTGATATCCAGCGGCAGCCCACTGACGAAGAGCGTCCGGACCTGAGGAAGAGCAGAAGCAGAGCGAGTCATTGACCTACTCAGGTATTAATAGCTACCTGCAGACACAGAGCAGGTGAGAGCACAGTCTCTAAACTCAGCATCACATCTCAACTGTTCAACTCTCAGATGGAGCCATGCTAGGGAGTCACTGAGAGTGTGTTTGAACAAGAAGGAAACCACATAGGGAGTAGTATATAAGTTATCATCATGTGTTGATGAATACAAGTAAACTCTAAGTAACACCTGCATTCATTACTTTCATTTTTATTTTAAACTGCATATGTAAGCAACAACCTAAAAGTGAACCCTACAAATAAAGTTGAAAATATAAAGATGTCAATGGCACTGAGCTAGAATATAAAGTTAAGAAATAAAGTAAGACAGGAAAGTAATGGAGACTTCCTGCCCCAGTTAAAAATACAGTTATCATGAATGTCTGAAGGTAACAAAACTCCTATTAATCTCACTAATTAACAAATATCTATTTCTTTAATCTACTTTCTCTGATAGTTTATGGGAATATGATGTCATCAACAGCAAGTCGCCCATCTTTGGAGGAAACCAGCGGCTGCAACCCGTTGACTTAACCTGTACAGCCCCAGAATGCACCGCGGTTCCCATTCCATGTAAGCGAAAATAAAAAGCCACTAATCAAACCTCATACACATCACCTGACTGAAGTTGGCTTGGTGCAGGCTGTGCGCAGTTAGACATCCTCACAATAATGACACAGTGCGTTGTAAACATGTGTTTACGACTGAATATAGAATAAAGAGCAGGTATGATTACACACAGCAGGTTTATTAGACAGTCGGTACACACAGAGCTGCTGAGCTAACATCACGCCTCATTCCCACAGGTAATCTGACTCCACACACACACACACACACACACACACACACACACACACACACACACACACACACACACACACACACACACACACACACACACACACACACACACACACACACACACACACACACACACACACACACACACACACACACACATAACACCTTAGCAACTGAGAGGGGGGGGCAGACCCCCACCTTCACTATTACCTCACCTCAATCACACACTGACAGCAGAGAAAATCTATTTCATATAAAGAAAAACGTTTAAAAGGTGCAGAAAACACAGGCAGTGTTAAAGTGTGTTGGCTCCGACTGTAAATCACATTACAGTCATGACATGTGGAATGTTTCTACATGACGTGGTTCCATCTGAAGTCATCTCAGTTACTGCCAAACTCTGATTTAACCTCTGCAGACTGAACAATGGGACACTTCCTGACGTCATTTGTTGTGACACACTAGTGTTTAAGTGTGTAAGTAACACACTCCTGCTGTAGTGAAGTTTCCTGAAGGTCGCAGATGGACAGATAACCCTGTGCCTCTGTTTTATTGGCTTTTAGGAGATATTGGTTTTACTGCTTCCTCGTGAGTCACATACCTTCATCTCCAAAGTGCTGAAAACCCACTGAATCATTGACCATGTATGGCGTGCGCTCACACACACACACACAGCAGGATCAGAAGCAGCAACAGGCAGTTCCCTGGCAACGCCTGAGCGGGGTGCAGCGGGGCACGGAGCCCCCGGCCACAGACATCACTTCCTATTAGAGCCACTGCTGCAGCCATGCCCAGGAGATCAATGCACCTCCACCCACAGACCCACCTTTACTCCACCAGCTCTCTATCAGATGCCCTTCTGTTTCTATAGAATTTCAGCTTAACCCAAATTCAAATAAAAATGTAGAATTGTTTTATTAACCAATTACACACACACCGACCAGTAATGGATGTTCCCAGAATAAAATAACACATTGTACGTGATAGGCTAAGGGGTGGGAAATTGCTTAACAGTTGACCAATAACAACAGAGCCGAGCAAAGGCAGAATGAGAAAGAAAAGCTTTTTGAACATTAAAGCATGGAAACACGTCACAGCAGAGGCACTAAATACTAATATCAAAATGAGCACAATAGGGGCCCTTTAAACCAGAGCAATAATCCCTCAGCAATAAACTGAAATCCAGCCTGCCTATTACAACAAACTATTGCCGTCATTATTAAACTGTTCCCTTTGTTTTCACCTCCCAAAAAGTCGATTTGAAATGAAGTTTTTTTAACTGAAACAAACCTGTCTGGTTGTCTTACTGTTGTCTGAAACTGTAAGGGAACCAAGCAACCAATACCATTTATATTAAGTTATATTAAACAAAAAAAGAGATTTCAAGACTCACAAAAATGTCTCTTTTCTCCATCACAGAATGCACTGTGTCTGTCTCTTGATTAATAAAATGGCCTTGGCCCTTATTCATGTGTCGTTTGTATTCATTATGTGTAAATGTGTTAAACCTTTTTCCTGAAAAGCCTCATTACGCTGCGCCGCTATGCGTGACTCTCTTAGATATCTGCTGCTACTTTAACGGAGCGTTATTTTGACCGCTAGTCTGGGCTGGGATGAGGGACGCGACCTTGGAGTACCGTGAGATGATTACTGTGTGGTTCCTCCTCCCGAGTGTGTGTGATGGATGCAGCTCTGACCTTGAAGAGTAGAGGAGTCTACTGTAGCGTTGCAGGGGGAAACAAAGATGTGTAGCAGAGAGCTCAGAGCTACATTTCTACTAGCGTTGGCCTCTCTTTGTTCCTGCTCTGCGTTATTAAAACCGTGGACTGACATGGCTCTCCATCATCCTCTCAGAACGACACACTGCAGAGGTGTGGAGTGTGTGTGTTAATCTCTGCAGTCAAGTTAGACCTGCGGGGTCACAGGTTAGTGTGCAGGTGAGAGGTCTGCTACAGCTCAGTTAATGTTCCAACAGGTTAACCTTTAAGAGACATTTCAACAAATGACCTCTGAGGAGCACTTCACTGCCTTTCTCCTTCATCCTGCTCAACAAACCAAACTGTGTGTTACTCACACACACATGTGCTCTTTAGGAGTCACATGTATGACACAGAGTTCAACTCTTCCTCCTGTGTGTGTGCTTCGGTGCGTCTCCATGAAGGACTCACATTCCTCCACAGACTCATTAACTGAGCCCCTCCTTCACTGCCTTTGTTGGCGCCTGCCCAAGTGGACACCTTCCACTGTTTGCTCTTCAGGTTGGGTTGGCAGAGCGACAAAAACACGAGACGGAGAGTGCATGAGGACGTGCATGAACCCGTCATGTGACCTGCTGCATCAGTGACTGCACTTTTTAACTACAGAGACAATATATTTCCTGTCTGGCAATGTTTACTACTCAATCTGCCTCTTTCAAATAAAAATAAAGATTCATATGCACACAGAGGACGTGCTTCCGCATTGTCTTATTATGTGTTAGTCCTTCCAGTTAAAGGGTAATTGCTATTGCTTAGCATAGCGTCTCCAGCGTTATCAACTTGCCCAATAAACCTTTTAAAGCTTTTTAATTAACTGTAATTAAGTTATAACAGTTTTTAAGGTGAGAAGCTAACTGTTTTAATTATCAATATGCGATTACTTAATCCCAAAAATGTTTGAGAATTTGAGAATTTACAGCGATGTTTTGAGCGATGCTGCTGGACGTGTGAGAATACCCAGTCTGTTAAAAAAAAAAGACGTCAACCATGTTTTTATAATGACTTTCACTGCCTGAACGGTAGAGACAGGTCCGCACTGCAAGTCTAACTATAGGGTTTTAAAAAATATTTCCCATTTAAATGATTAGAGCCAGAAATATTGAAAAAGCTAGCTAGATAGCTAACATTCAGAAGCTAGCTTGTTAGATGGGTAGCTAACTAGGGAGGTGGATAGAAACCTTAGCTAGCTTGATAGATAGATAGACAATGACAATGGCCCAAAATCATATTAGATTTTGGGCCATTGTCATAACAGATGATAACACCTTATAATTTCAACATTTAGGATACAGGACTGTCTTCACTCTCAGTTTCCATGTTTAATATTATATCTGCATCGCTGCCTCTGACCGCCGTGAAACGATTGGACAGTCGGACACGAACAGTTTCTCTTTGTTCCTCGATCCTGTCTTGACACCCTTCCTATGACCATATAAGGTCCTTCTGTTCACAGACCTTGGCATCATGCTGTCAACGTATGGACCATAAGGAGAAGGAGTCAGTCTACTGGGACTAAAGAGAGGAGAGAGGCAGACTATAAACAGCAGCCGGGTGGAGGAAGGAGGGAGGAAACCAGATAAAGAGAGGGCAGAAAGAGGGTGGAGGGGAGGGGAGGAAGGAGGAAACGGAGAGGAGGGAGATTGAAGTGTACAACGAGATGAGTTAGAGACATTCTTTGTGAAAAAGAAGGTGGATAATTATAGCTGTGAGTAAGCAATATTAAGTGGAGTGGACAGAAGATAAAGACAAGATGGCTGACACATTATTACAAACAAACTAACAACAAAGCCTTTTAAGGAGACTTGGATCATTTTAAATAAATATATATTTATATATATAGCTGTAGATATTTCAATTCTCCTTCATTCTCCTCACATCAGTGAGCAGCCGCTCCTGACGCTAAGCCTTGTTGTTGCCTTTTCAAATACCTCTTGTCGCGCAGCTGACAAATGGCCAAGATAAGACGCTTTTATAAATAACCTGCTACCTATCAGACACAGAGCCGGTGCTTTATTCAATGTGTAATGTGCCTTTATATTCTCACTGTCTACACTATCTGCACCAGTATGTTTTCCTATCATGGCCACTTTCCCCTCTCATAGCGTCTCCTGTCACACAGCGTTAATATTTCTGCGTGCCCTTTTCAGAGATACGTGCCCACTGCCCGATGTACCGCAGCTCCTCCACCCACGTCTCCGGGTGGAGAAGGTCACGCTGGACACATGACCTGTGATTTGAAGAGGACCTGCTGTAGACACAGTCCAGATACACCGCGGGAGACTCGCTAAGCTCTGCACGAGTGATACTCGGATTCTCTCCGGGCGCTTGTAAAGATCCACTTACATGTTTATGGAGTCAACACACTGCTCAGATATGAGTTCATCTTGCAGAGGAACACAGAGGCTTAACTCTCTGTGTTCACTCATTTGTCAAAACTCAGGTGGACCTGCTGGCGCTCCTTAAACACACAGCAGTTAGCCTGACAGAGTGGAGGTCAAAGGTCACATTGCGATGAGCCGAGACGCATACAACAAGCTCACCACCTGCACCGCTTAACACAAAGTGGGCTTGCAGTGATCACAAACTAATAACACTGCTGCTGGTACAGGATGAGTGCCACTAATACTGATCGCAGTCTGTATTTAATTAGAAAACAGTCCTCAGACTGTATAAGCGGGGACTGTTAAAATGTCTCTCGCATAACAAGATGAAGTGTTGATGTGATTAGTTTAAGTTGGACTGTGCTTGTTCCTGATAGCAGGAGCACGTCCCCTCTCTCCGTCATTATGAAAACACTCAACTGAAGAGGTCAGAAATGTGCGCTGAAGAGCCCGCAGCCCGGCTCCTTAAAAGGCCTGGAAACATCTGACGTCCAGCATGTGAGGGGCAGCATGTCAGCGGCACTGCATAAGAACCAGAACACCTGATAATAAAGGACCAGAACACCTGATAATGAAGCTTATCACTAGGTTAGCTACTGGAGCGGCATACCTGCTCTGTTGCAGGTCCATGTTTGGAGATTCTGTTCCTTACCAGATTAACTGTGATGGTGTGAGGCAAAGCAGAGAAACAGGCTGAGGAGATTTAACTCCGGACATCAGTCTCGATTCACCTTATGCTTCAACGGCTCTAGGGCGGTTTCATATTGCGGTATAATGTGTTGATACTTCCGGTTAAATTGTAATTGCTATTACTTACGTCGCCAAATGTATAAATCTTTAATAAGCGTAACATGTATAGGCGTTTGAACAGGGAGTGGGAAAAGGAGCGGGGCTTCATACGGTGAATTCAGAGGTACACAAAACATGTACAACAATTATTATTCATCCAAAATGTGAAACCCTAAGGAGTGTATAAAGTGAATACAGTCAGTGTGAATCTGCAGCACGGCACAGCGTGGCCTTTTCTCAGTGAATGTGCAGTTACATCAGCCGCTGTGTTTGGGTATTCAGTTACACAGTGACCACATGCACTGAGCCTAATCTAATTCTCCAAGAGAAATATCAGATTTAATCTCATATACCTTTCTGACATCACCGGGTTGCACATGAGAGGGAAACTACAAACACACCCAGAAAAAAAAGACAAAGACTATACAAAAACTGTGCAGCATGTTGGAGGAATTGGTGTTTTGCACAAACATCGTTGGCTGTGAGAAGATGTCACTCACTGAGATGATCTGTAATGAGGGGGGGGGCAGCAGCTGTGTGAAACTCACTCTGAACACTTTATTCTAGTGTGTGTGTGTGTGTGTGTGTGTGTGTGTGTGTGTGTGTGTGTGTGTGTGTGTGTGTGTGTGTGTGTGTGTGTGTGTGTGTGTGTGTGTGAGACAAACATTAAGATTCATTAGAATGGATTCATCTATCACCAGTCCTCTCTTTATCCTGCGTACATCTGCAGTTGGTATATTGCCTTTGTTATCTCCAATATCAAATGTTGAACTCAGTTCTTGTATTGGTCTGCAAATTATAATGTACATTTTCTGCATCGGTCGATTCATTGTTGCAGATATTCTACCACTTTTAACTGCTTTGAAGTAAACCTATTCCAAAACTATAAGATATTTGTCCAAAACAAAATGTTCCGCATCCCCTAAAACTTAGAAATCGACACAGAAGGACTCAGAATCAGCCAGGAGTACAATTATGGCAATTTTCTTTTTTCAACTGCCATGTTTTATCCTGAAACGTACGGAAACGCATTCAGCATCCTCAATAACCCCCCAAATCACTCCAGAACTGTAAAGATTGGCAATTTTTTGACTATTATCCCCCGAATTCTAAATACTGCTAATTAACGCAATTTATGCTAATTGCGCTAATTGACCAACACATTTAAGTTAACATCCAGCAGTTTCTTATTGCTTGGGACCCATACTGCACAATCCTAAAATAACACTTTAGGGTATTTCCGGGTTCAGACTGCTGTCAACTTTTTTCAGAATAAAAAAGGACATACAGTATGAGGCAGGTCACAAAGATTAAAGGCGAAATAAAAAGCCTATATTTTTATAATAAATTAAAGGTGCACATATTTTAAAGTATGAAAGAGTGCCTTTATGAGCCCTAGCCTTATAATAATACTAATAAAAGTATAACTCTGACAGATTTACCCGCAAATAAGAGTATTTAGGAGTATTTTAGTGATGGAGTAATGATTAATGTAGGAGTCGCGTGCGGATCGTACCTCTTCCTCGTGGTTGGTGAACTCACTCGGCTCGGTCTCCTTCTCGCTTTTGTTGTTGCTCATCCTGACGACTTTATCAACGGGACTGTCTTCTTCTTCTTCAGTCAGTTTGCCTCTGCTCCTCTTCCTCCCGCTGCAGGTTTCCAGTACCTCCGACAGACTTCAGTCCGTTTGCAGCTGCTAGTTAGGCGACATCAGTGACGACACGGATTCAAAGTAAAATCTGAAGCTGCGAGTAAAATCAGACAGAAAGCTTCTCCTCTTGCTCTGCTGCTCTCAGTGAAACACGCTGCTGTTAGACTGCTGCAAACTTCTCAGCTGAGGAGGAGGACAAGGAGGAGGAGGGAGGGGTTTAGGGTGGGGTTAGGGTGTAGATGCACCGTCTGCTGCTGCTGCTCCATCAGGTTTATAAATGCTGTAATAGCAATGCGTGTTATTTTAGTCTCTGCAACATTCCTACAATATTTCTCTAACAGCAGCTGCTTTAATATTCCTATTTATAGTCTAAATATTACTAATGTGTCTGTAGTCAGCTGATTTTACATGTGCGTTCATTTAAACAGGTATTCTCATTGACAGACACAGAGATAACACACATGCCTATGTTCACTGTCAATAGAAAAGTGTGATTGCAAACACGTTAATAAAATGTTAAAGGAGGAATAAATAAAACATTGCTGGTTACCCTCACAAAAACATTGCATTGTGACATTAAACAATTATATTGGAATCTCTCACTTAAAGGTCACCTATGATGCAAAATCCACTTTTTTTCTGTTCACGAAAAAATATTTGCTCACTTTTTTCCTGATTTATATAAAAACCTGTCTGAAAATGAGCTGATCAGATTTTGGCCACTTTATGATGTCATTACGATTTTTTGGATTTTGTAACCATTAGCCAATCACCAACCAAGGTAACCCCCTCCACCTGATCACCTGAATATCCTCCCAGAGCACCAATTTTGTTTTTTTTAACCAAATATCTCGCAGAGGGGCGTGGGGAGTGGCTCCTTATTTTCATCTAAAGTAACAGACAGAGAATCAGCACTTTTGAAACAGGTCTGAAACAGAGGGGTTTATTGTGATCTGTTTGGTATTTCGAGCCAAACACTTCAGACACATGGTTTGTATAGAGACCTATTGATGAAAAACAGTATAATAGAAGACCTTTAAAAGGACAATATTTCATTTTGTGCTTCAAACTACGTGGATGACACGGTTGTTGGAAAATTCTCTAAAATGTTAGTTTTATCGGCTTATTTTAACAATGGGATCGCATTATTCCTTCCGAAATAATTGCAGATCTGCTGTAAACTAGCTAGCTTACCAAGCTAACCTTGTCATTTCAGATATACGGAAATAAAACACTTACAATTATGAAAACAGACTCTGCCAAAAGAGACAGTTGGCCATCATTGTAATCCCCGAAGGTCAACAAGTGCTCCGGTCCCAGCTGTGTGTGTCACTTTTTAGTGTCCCCTGGTTTCCGTTGTGTTTTACGCCTCTTGCAGCATTTTGTATTTACAGCACTTTTAGTAAATGCTGCGCATGTTTTGTCAAGTTGGTGAAGATGTTTCTTCATTCGCCTGTGTTTTGGCACATTTGTGTTTATTTATTTGCATAGTTTCTGAAGATGCAGCGCGTTATCAGCTGTCGGCCACCATATAAACAATAAGAAACAAAGACATTAAGCAATTACACAACTCCACAAGAAGTACAATACAGTTTGTGTAATTTTTCCACATTCAAATTACATATACCGTTGTTTTTTATGAATGCTTCTTCTTTTAGATCTTCTTGTAGATTATTACCTGTTGCCTGTGTGAAACTCGGCTGCATCATGTGATGTGTTAGTGTTCACACTCAGGAGAGTTTCAGCATGATGCATCATGTGTGTGGACAATTATCAACAGGACTGTGTGTGTATATTTACAGAGAAGATCAGAAGACAACACCTGTGCGTTGCTCAACATTTGTCGGTGGTAACTGATCCGGTCTGATTTATGACCTGTGGGGGGGGGGGTGCCATCTGAAACCCTCCACACCTATGGCGGTCTGCGGCTCAGACGGTACACTCCAGCAGCTTCCTCTCTGATGCTCAGTGCAGCGGACACACACTCGCAGTATGTGACAGCCGGGCAGAGTCATTTCTGCTGAGCATGCACCTCAAAACAACAAAAGAAGGAAAAGCAGTGATGCCCCCCTCCCCTCAGATCACGTCTACATCCATCACAGATACATCTGAAGGAGCTCTGCAAGGAGATAAAAATGGAAATGCTCCCCTTGCTTCTCGACAAGAAGGAATCAAAGCTGCTGCTGGAGTCTGGGGAAGGGGAGATGGGAGGGGAGGAGAGGAGAGGGGGAGGAGACGGGGAGATGTCCCAGCTGTGTTTGACAGGTCTCTGTGTGGTCTGATGCTAAGAGAGGGAGCCCCCCCCCTCTCTCTCTGTGTGTGTGTGTGTGTGTGTGTGTGTGTGTGTGTGTGTGTGTGTGTGTGTGTGTGTGTGTGTGTGTGTGTGTATGTATGCGTGTGCGTGGCTAGGAGACAGTCTGGTCACGCTGTCCTGGTAACATCTCATGGCTCTGATCCCCCGTCTCTGTGTTATCAGAGAGTAACCAGATAAACATGGAGATAAAATGCTGCAGGGAGTTATTTTAGTTTAAACGAATAACAGAGACAGTTATCTCGTATCTGTAGGCTTAAAATAAAGCTAACCACCAGTGGGTTAGCTTAGCACAAAGATAAGCTAGTAAAGTCGAATACGATACCCTGAAAACACTTCCCCACCCACTTCTCCATCTTGTTTGCGCTCACTTCAACAGTTTCTCATGTCTCCAGGCTAAATATGAAGCTAGCGTGTTAGCTTAGCATCAACATGCACATGATCACATGTCTGGACTGTGTCATCTTCAACAAAGCTACTTATAGCATCTTTGTTTAACCTTATATCTTTATGTTCTGTTCACTGTCAGATAATGCAGATGAGCTGGAGAATGAGAAGAAAAGGGCCCAGACTGAGGAGACAGGTGTGTGAGCAAGATGTTGGTTTGAGGAGCGGCTGCTAGCTAGGAGAAGGAGGAAGAACTCTGTGGCAGTATCAGTGTGTTTTGGGGAAACTGGTGCATAGCATGTGTGCTAACCTGAGTTTAAACCTTGACTCAGTGTGTGTAAAGGTCTATAATATTCCTCTAAACTGCTGACATGTCTTAAAGCCGTGTAGAGGAAGTAGGTGAAGTTACATTCTCTCTTTGTTGTGCAGTGGATCCAATAAAAACTGAAAACCTGAGTCCTTCAGTTTTTATCACACAATAAACCTCTGACCTTTACTGCTCTGAGGGTACATCTCCATCTATTACTGTTATCTTTTAGTGTTTATGGTGTTCTGCTGTGCAGTAAAGGAACAAAAGATGACTTATAATACACATGCTGGCCTTGCATTCTGTGTTTGACACGTTTTGGATGATATTAGCATTCTGTGCCTCTCCTGTGACATGTTTCCATGCTTTGATGTTCAAAAAGAAAAAAAAAAAATCTTTTTTTTCTCATGCCGGTGCTGCATCACCTCTTTTCACCCTCTGTCTGAAACCAGAGCTCCCAGTCTGCTGTGATTGGTTAGTTGGCCGACTGTGTTGTGCTTGGTCAACCGCTTATAGATGTCCCGCCCCTTAGCCCATGACGTACAATGTGTTGGAGCGCTAGCCAATAGAAGCGCAAGTGTGTGTGTGAAAACCACAAGAAGCAGGATAGGGTCCCCAGCACATTTCGCTGGGAACACTAAAGTAAAATATGAGGATGCTTGTATGTTAACCACCACAGTGGAGTGGAGCTGGTGGTCGTGCAGGAGGAGGAGGGGGGCTGTGTCAGTCTCCAGCTGCTGGTCTGTTTCAGAGGGGACCACAGAGTCCCTGTTGTGATGAGATTAATGGTTCCTGTGGTCTGCAGAGGAGGTGACTGCACCTATAGGTCACTCATCACTCTGTAAAGATGGAGCGAACCTGCAGGCAAAGGTCAGCTGTCACTAAGCCTTACCCAACTGCTACTAAAGGGTGGAGAGCATAGACTGTATATATGGTGGAGAGGGTGGAGCTCCAAACCTAGCTGATCGAGTCTCTACCCAGATATATGTATTTATATTTATGAATGTCAGTTCACTCAGGATCTTTGTCTTTAAGATAACTGACTGTTTTAAAGGCAGAATGCTGAGAGGATGTTGGCACTAACAAAGTGCTGCAGTGATTGAGTTTCACAACACTACAGTAAGGGGTTGGGGGGGAATAACTGTGTCCAAATATAGACAAGCATTTCTGTTATGAGCTGCTATCATCACAGTCATGGTGTAGACTAAAAGACCCCCCCCCCATGAGACCGTCGTCACTCTACATCCTGTAACTGTGCCCAGCATCTGTCCTCCGCCACTTTAAACACCTCCCAAAAGAAGGAGGAGGAGGAGCAGGAAGAGGAGCAGGAGGAGGAGAAGGTGAATAAGTTATAGTAGAGAGGCCCCAGCTGCACTCAAATAATTAGCCCCCCTCATCCATATCTGACCCCACAGCAGGTGGGGCTGGGTGCAGCAGCTGCATGCTGCACCCAGCCCCACCTGCAATACACTGTGGGGGTACCTGGCATTATTCAGGCCATGCTGCTGGAGGAGTGTAACCACACCAAGCTCCATGACAACTGGGACTGTGTACAATTACTTTACTTATAATATGAATAATTAAACTGTTATCGTGTACTGTATTGTGTATTGTGTGAGCGGACAGCAGCTCAACCGTTCCCCCTGGTGGTCAAACTAAGGTAATGTAAAGACAAAATATATAAATAAATAAAAGCTTCAATTTAATAAACTTGCTTAGCATGACATTTGACGAGTGCTTGATACAATTATCATTTTGAAAGAATTAAAGATATTAACTACTTTTGTCAAATATATAACATTTAAAAGCTATTATAAATAATACAAATAAAACAACATACATTTGAAAAATGAAGATAATATTTATTGCAATTTTTACCAGAACAATTATAAAGACATTTAAATGTAATTAATTAACAAGGAGATTTACAATGTCAGGCCTGAAATACATCAGACTATCTGAAAAAGAAGTGAAAAAGCAGAAACTGCTGAAAAATGATTCTCACGGGTGGAGGTAAAGAAGGTGGAGTTCACAGGTGGAGGTAAAGAAGGTGGTGTGAGATCCTCACATGTGGATGTAAAGAAGGGGGAGTCAGTTCCTCACAGGGGTGGTGCTGTTTCCTCTCACAGTCTTCTTCAGGTGGTGGTAGTTTGGCAGGATCTTCATCAGGAAGTCCAGCTGCAGAGTCTGAGGCTGCAACACAGAAACACCACCCTCAGTGATAAGAACACCACCCTCAGGTATAAGAACACCACCCTCAGGTATAAGAACACCACCCTCAGGTATATAAACGCCACCCTCCGTCAGCTGTGTGGGTGGTGCAGGTGCAGCACTGACCTGAGGCTTCTCGCTCTGCAGGCGGCGGTTGGTGCCACAGCCATACACCACCGTGTTCTCCGGAACCACCTCGCAGGTGTTGAGCTGGCAGCAGGCGCCCACGATGCAGCCGCTGCTCAGCACCACCCTCCTGCCCAGGTCAGCTGCAGGGGGAATAGTTAGACACATACACAGGTTACACTTTTATATTATATACAGAGGTGGGAGAAGTACTCAGATCTTGACCTTGAGTACAAGTAAAAGTTCCAGAGTCTAGGAATACTCTGTAGAAGCAAGAGCCCTGCAGTCAAAAGGTTACTCAAGAAAAAGTACAAAAGTATCAGCATCAAAATGTAATTAAAGTACCAGAAGTAAAATGCACTAGTTGTGCAGATTGACCCATTTCAGAATAATATGATATGTTTTGAAGTAGTGATGCATTAAAGTGTTATCAAAGTGGTTAAGAGGCAGCTAGTTTGAATCACTTTGTATACTGCAAGGTAGCTTGTGAATTTACTCCAGGTGATTTCACATCATTAATAAACATTTGTAAAGTAACTAATGGTATTAAATAAATGCAGTGGAGTAAAAGTACACAATTGACCTCTGAATTGTAGTGGAGTAGAAGTACAAAGTAGCATAAAATGAATCTACTCAAGTAAAGTAGTATCTCAAAAGTGTACTAAAGTACTGTAGTTGACTAAATGTACTTAGTTACTTTACACCTCTGATTATGTATTATATACATTTTATGTATATACAAAGTACACAGAGAGGGATTTCAGTACTCACCCTTTGACTCGATCACGTTGTTGTCTCCGATGTTCAGGGCCTGAGACACTGATCCTCATTATGAAGGATTTAAATGTAAACACTATTATAAAACAGATGTATGTTCAAAGACTGAATGTTTGATTACCACATGGCTTTTTGTTCTAAAACTGTCTTTCATATGAACATTTTTGTACAGTGTTTGCATATCTTATTTTAAACTTAGGACTTCATTTATAATGTAAACCTGAACCAACAGCGCCCTCTGGTGGACAAAATTGATATTAATAACAATAGAAATTCATTTTTTCTGTTACTTCTCAGCTGACATTGACTCAGACATTACTGCAATACTCAGTCAGATGCTATAGATTATATTATATTATATATCACTTTAGAGGATACCACATCCCACTTCAAACACATTGTTGGTCCCGATGGTCATGGTTTTCTGCTCCGCGCCCTCAGAGTCCGGCAGCTGGTTTTCCGGGTAACTGCACACAGGAGGAGATAAAACATGAGGTTACAATAGTATGTTATTATTACATGTTATTGTATGTGTTCTCCTCCTGCCTGTTGATGATGAGCGCCTGCTCCTCAATCAGGTTCCCCTCCCCGATGATGATGGGCCCCGCCTCCGCGATGATCCGGGCTTTGGGATGCACTACGGTCCGGGCTCCTGAGGGAGTAGCAGCAGGAGTGATGGAGAATGCTGCGTAAATAAATGATAATAATAATGATAATAATAAAACTCACCGATGGTCACATCTCCTCTGATCTCGCTCTCCACACACACCACTGCTCCTGCTGCGATCTTAGCGCTGTGGGAGAACAATATTTAAAATCACAATGCCTACATAGAATAAATATACATACATAAACAAAAACATAAATACAGCTGATCAACAGTCAGTCTGCTGGCATTTTTGTATACAGAATGAATACATTAGTTAGTACGTTAGTATACCCACAGAATAACAGTCTGTTAACACATTAGTATAAGATAATTACTGCCAACACAATATATTAACACAGAATATATGTATATTGATACACAGAATAACGGTCTGCAGAATCATCAGTATTTAAGAGATAGACACGGTTCTTATTTTTCTGATATTTATAAAGGGTTTTACCTCTTCTGAGCGGCGATCTGCTTGCAGTCTGACATCCTCACAACAATCAAGGCGTTATCGATGTTTGATTGTAGATCCTGGCTCCGAGCTCATACTCGATCAGCTTTGTCTGACTCACTGCTGCCCTCTGCTGGACTCATCAGGAACACATTCACTCAACCATAGTGCCTCAATTTATTGTATTTAGCTATGTCACTATTCATATTCACAAAAAGGTTGTCAAACATAATTTAATCTTCTTTTTCACTAAAGAAATACATTAGTAATAATTTAGTAGTATTTTATTCTCCCCGCCTCATAGGAAACTCCTGTTTATTGTCAGGAGAAATATATGAGTTTAAACCATAGACTGTTTGAGATTAAACTCATATCTTATTCATTTCGAATTTCATCGAAGTAACAGCCAGACACAGAGATGTATTCTGCCTCTTAGTTTTTAAATCCAAAATAAGAAATCTGTGTGGAAGGACTGATGGCATAGTACATTTTAAAAATCATATTAAAGTTAATTAAGGAATTAATTGTAAAAAGAACAAAAAAGAAGTATGGATTGTGAAATATACTACAGATTTGTTCTGGTGGTTAAATAAGCATTTAAATAAGCAGACAGGAAACAGAATATGACAGAATCTTTAATTCTTGCATTAAGAACAAACTCATGATGACGGCTTCTGAATAAACTGAAGTAATCACACGATCACCACATGAGTGATCCTTTGGATACAAATACCCATAAGGCAATATTCTGTATTAAATATGTTTATAGCAGGGTAAAACATATAGTAAATAAAAAAGATAATGGTGAAAATAGTCAGGCTCGGAGAAATCAACAATACCTGAGTAAAGTCAACGTCACCCATTAATGATTAATAATGGTGAATGTCTGTAAAATGAATAATAAAACGTGTCTTGGAGGGCTGGTGTAATACTCATTGTGGGGCCTAATGCTAAAATCATTTAGGAATAAAACATTTTTCAAACATTATAATTATTATAAGATAAATTGGCTGATTCTCCTGCTGGAATAAATATTTGCATAAAGAAGTGTTTCTTAATACCATCATCTCACTTATACCTGATTCTCTTTTTTACAGAATTATAAAATGATCTCCCCATCAGTAGAAGGATTTTCCAGCAACTTTCCTTTTTAAAAAACTCATGATCTAAAAACACTTCAAGAGGCAAAGCTTGAAAACCTTGTAGATGCTAGAGATTGTTCTGCTTTTATTGTGAAGGGCAGTGGGTCAGAACTTGTGGCTGCCTCTGAAGTCGGAGCCCGGTCTGGAGGGCCAGAAAGTCCCACTCTGCCTGTAAAACACACAGAGGAGGGAATATATATTTACTATTATATATATTTTACATTTTCACCTTATGTAGCCCCACCCCTTTTCCCACTTCATGTTCAAACGCTTATGTCGTAGTTCGTTAGACTTGCATTATACAAATAAGACCAGTGTGGCCTTTGTGCTTAATGCTAAGCTAACAAGCTCCGACTCTTGAACGAGGAAGAACTCGCCTCATGTTCTCGTCCTGCTGGTCTTCAGCCTTCAGCGCAGATCTGGAGATCCCCATTCCTGGAGGGATGCGGTCCGGATAGCGCACAGCGATCTTCATGCCATTCAGATCAGAGCCCTGAACACACCAACACAACATGTTTGTTCAGCAGGAGAAACAGCAGCAACACTCACAGGGACCTCCTGCTGTTAGAGCAGGAGGACACAGGGGGTGACAAGGTGTGCGCTTCACAGTATCTATGAAGTGTAGTGTCATCTTCCAGGAAGTAGTACTCACATGCAGGCGTCTGATTGCTTCATCACAGTGATCTCGTTTGGTATAGTTAACGAAGGCGCATCGTTTGTTAATGAGGAGCTTCACACTGTGGACCGGCCCCACGCTGCAGCAGGAGACAGGAAGGAAAGAGTCAGGAGGTGCGACCACAGAGGATAGAGGGAAGGAGTACCAGGAGGAGGAAAGGAGTAATGTTCTCACTTGTTAAACATGTTGCTGAGGATGGCCTCAGACAATGGGTACACCAGGTTCCCCACCCACACTGGAAACAGCTCCCTGTGAAACACACATACAACACTTTCATACTAATACTAATAATGTAAAAAATACTAATAATTGTCTAGTTATAGATAATCATAATATAATAAATACAAAAAGTCATATCTAAAAATAATAATAGTGTAGTAAAAATATTTAGTGTAGTAAAAAATAATAATAATATAAATACAAAGTAATGATAGTGTAGTAAAAAATAAATAATAACAATAATGACTGACTGTTCAGCCCCGCTCTTCATTGCCTGGTTAGGAACGATCTTCTGTTGACTCTGGATGTTGGACATATTCTGGACTAAAGGTTTGTTCTTTAATAATTGTAGAGCACTGTGAGAATGGTGAGGATGAGGAGCAACAGGATAGAGAAAAGGAGAAGCAGGAGGATGAAGAAGAGGAAGAGCAGCAGGGCTTATGTTGGCAGAGAGGACTGGAGACACTCCGTTGATGTTAACAAGTTGAGCTGGTTTGAGGGGGACACCTTGAATAGTTCCTGTACACAAACACACGATGAACGATCATAAATATATGTATTAGGGCTGCACAACATATCAAACATCTATTGTAAACGTTATATCAACATTTGTGGTATGCATATTGCAAGACTGCTCGAACTGCAATAAATAGTAGCCTATTCCATGTGCCATGCAGTCACTCTCTGCATGTTAATACATCTGGCCAATCAGGCGAAGCCCTACTGCTCTAGATGCCCCGCCCCCCATGAAGGAGCTATGCTATTGGTGGAGAGTAAAGCTAATGGATCTAAGATCTTTACGATGGCTGAAGGGAGACAAGCAAGGAAAATGTGGGGGATGAGGAAGAACTCGAGGAAAAAAACATATGGTGATTGTTAGGATTATTTCAACTATAACGTAGTTACATGCTTTAATGTTTAAAACACATGAAGTTAGTGTTGGAAGGAGGAGTTTCTCCTGCTCGTGACACTCACCTGGGGGACGGTTTAAAGCTGACAGCACCTCCAGAGCCTTCTCCACCGTGCCGTGGATTATTAAAGCATTTGAGCTCTGCTCCCGAGTGAAGCCATACTCCTGCAACACAACAAACAAGAATATCTGTCATACACCACCTCCTTCTCTAAGAGCATCTTTGAATAAAGTCAGGTGTGAGTGTGACGCACCATCAGCTGAGTGATCTGCACCCTCATCAGCTCCTGAGCTGCTTCTGCACACGAGCCGTCCAGAGACAGCACCTCCCTGAAGGCTCCGGCCGCCTCCGCATACCTCTGCAGGAGGAACCAGAAGGGCAGTAAGAGGAGAACTCTGAACTACTGTCTCCCTTGTTTTATATATCTAAATATTTCCTCCATGTGTCTGCATTGATCCCTGTGTTTACCTTGAGTCCGGCCAGCGCCCTCCCCCTCCTGAAGTGAGCTTTGACCCAGCCGGGGTTCATGCTGAGGCACAGCTCTGCGTCTGCCAGCGCCTTCTCAAACTGCTGAGACTTCTCGAAGCAGAACGAGCGGTTCCCAAACAGCCTGAGACACAAACATCTGGACTTTAACTCCTGACCAGTCACTCTTTATTGTTTTAATAACCACTAACCAAGTCGATTTCCATATCCCGCTCATTCAACTTTCTAGACAAAAACTCATTTTTACAAGATGACCCTTGAACGCATCATACTGTAACTCAATGCAGCCTCTGAACGGCTAACGTTAGCTAGCTCTCCTGGAGACTTACCACAGATTTCAGTATCAAGGCTAACAGGCTGTGCTTTAAGACTTGATAAGGAGAATCAACATTTACATTTCTCTATAATTAAATAGAAACCGGTTCCTGTAAATAGGTGCATAACAAGAGAGAGTGTGTGTCCTCACTTAAACTCCGTGGGGTTGTATTTAATTGCGTCGGTGAAATACTTCACAGCCATATTAAAGTCTCCAGCACTCGCAAACTTATTGCCAATAACTGGAGAAAAAGGGAGAAAGTGCAGGAAGAATTAACACAGAATATTATATAATAATAAATGAACAAATGGATCAGTTTATGCATGAAAAACTAAACTCACCCGCGAGATCAGTACTGAATTTAACATTATCTTCCAAAGTGGGGGGGGCAAAGTCCTGCAGACACACACACAGATGAGTACATGTTATTCTAATAATGCATTATAATATAGGAATAAGGTAATAAAGCTCGGTCCTCTCCTCACCTGCTTCTTCTCTTCCTCTGGGGCTCCTTCAGGTTTCTCGGGGGGGCTCTTTGCTTCCTCTGTGGTGGTGGTGGTGGTGGGGGGGGGGGCCTCCTCTTCCTCTCGGCGCGGGGATTCTGCTCCAGCTGTCGCCTGGCAATCTGAGCAGCATTACTCACAAACGTGCTGCTCATGTCGAGCTCCTGCAGAAACACACTCCTCACCATGAGACCACTTTTAAATGGGTGGAATAAAAACGAATTGTATCTCAATCCCATAGAGGCGAGGATGTGGCACCTCAGAGTCTGCGGAGTCCTTCTTGGTGTCTTCATCGCTGGACTCTTCCTCACTGCTGCCGCTGCTGCCACCGCCGCTGTCTTTTGCTTCGGCCGGCGGGTTGTTTTTGGTTTCCTCACTTCCTGCGGTGCTTCCCTCTGATTTGCTCTGCTGCTCAGCTTCTTCTGCCTGGAAACCAAAAGAGACGAAACACCTGCTGAATCTGTTCAAACATAGTAAAGATTATGATTGTATTTTACCTCATGGGTCATAAATACCTCTTTGTTTGTTTCGGGGTTCAGTTTCTCCTTCTCCAACTTCTCAAGCCGTTTTCTTTCTTTACGTTTCTACAGGGCAACACAGATAATTCAGTTTCTAATATATCAGCTGACATAAATGCATTATATTTATTTATATATACATCTACCTGTTTCTTAATTCGCTTCTTCTCAGCCTTCTCTTTGCTTTTTATAACTTCTTCTAATAATCTGGCTCTTCTTTCAGCGTCCTAAAAAATATTTATATTTTGTTATTTTTCATCCCGCCTCAGAGTAAGATATCAGACAGACTAAACTGTCAACTCACACTCTCTTTAGGCTGGACTTTTGAAGAGGATGGTGGGTAATAATTGTCGGGGGGCTGATAAGCCGAGCCCCCCGTTAATGCAGTCCCACTGTTCCAGTCTGCCAGGTTTGAGTACGCTGTGAAATTATTAGGCCCAAGACCCCATTCACCATAAACCTCCTCCGTAACACCACACTCTCCATTTTTGCTGATATTAGCTGGGACACAAAACGATATCAAGTTAAAAATCACTGAATAAATGTGTTATTCACTTTAGTATTTGTGCTACTTCTTACCAACAACGCCAACTCTAAATCTCCCCTGGATTCCAGGACGGCTCTCAAACAGATTCACCATCCTATGCTGCACAGGAGAGGCATACATTACAAACATTTACCATCATACTGTGCACACACTTCATTTACCCATGATGCACCTCACTCTCTGCTTCAAGATCAGTAAAAGTACTTGTCTGACAACAAGAAGAAATTAATTTTAGATAGTTTTGTTAAAAGTTCATTTATATGTGCTAAGGCACTGTAGACTGTGATTCATCATTATTATGTATACACTTACATCATGTATATATACACAGATAATAACACTTCCGTTAGACACGTTGTCAACATGCGGTAAAAAAGTTTTAAAAGTTTACTCACAACCATCCGGATATCTGTAAACTCTGAAAAAGAATACAAACAAACATGTGACATCATGTAGTAAATCCCATTTTAAGCTTACATCGTGTAGTAAATTAAATTTGAATCTTCCGTTACGCATTAAATCATCGTTAAGAGTGAACAAGTTGTACTACATTGCTGAGGAAGTTGTTCAGGCTTATCAGCAGGACTCACTAGCCTGTTAGCTTGTTAGCCTTATTAGCTAGACAGCTTTAAATATCCTCATGTTCTTACCCGTCTCTTCTCTAAATATATCCATGTTAGTAAAGTAAATCCTCCCACAGCCTCATAAACTCGTTAAGTTAGGTAAATCAAACGCCAAACAGCGTTAATTTATCTCTCTAACTTTGTCAGCGTGCATGTTGTTTCCGCGCTTTCCACTTTTTTTTCTTCTTCTTCTGCTGCTGCTGCTTTTCCTTCCTTCTTCTTTGGTGTTTAATGGTTAACAAAGTTAGGTGTACTCCCGCCACCTGCTGGACTGACAGGTGCCACGACACAAAAATACACTTGATACATCCATACTGCTTTAGCCATTTACAAAATATAAATATTATCAATAGGTAATATTACAATGATAAAAATAATTACGTGTTTGACAGCTTGCACCAAAAGATGAAATAAATAAGATGTTATTAATTATTTTATTCATCACACCATCATTAGCACACACACCTTCATCAAACTTCACTTAATACAATTATTTCAGGTAAAATACCAAATCTGGGGCTAATAACAGACATATTATCAGTGTCCTCCAGAATCCAGTGCTCCTTGTGCCGGTAGATTCACTGTCTCATGTTAAAATCAAATATAAAGACAATCAGAGAACCTTTTCCAGCTTGTAGTAAGAAAAATTACAAATGTTTATCATATACATGTACATTCAGGAAATCTCTGATCATGGTCGCACCTCACACACCATTATTAAAAAATCTCTTTCAGCAGTGCTAGCACCCGTTTAACTTGATAAGTGAAGGCAGCACAGAGTATCAGTCTGTCTGCAGCATGTCAGTCATTAAACGCAGCACAGGGTTAAAAGTCTCTCTGCAGCATGTTACAGTCAGTGAAGGCAGCATGTTGCAGTCAGGCCCAATCCCAAACCACGCCCTACACCCTACTCCTACACACTCCCCCTCCGTGAGTGAGCGAACTCCGTGGAGTGACACTTGCAGCTCAACGAGGCTCCTTCCTGTCAGATGGAGGGAGTAAATACAGCAGCAAGTTTTGGGACAAACTCCCCTCTCTCCGGCAGAAACAGGAAATGCCGTAACTGTATGTAACAACGGTTTCAAATCAGCATCTCTTTGACAAAAAATTTAAATTAATAACTCAAATAAAACTCCAAACATCTTTAATTGTGTTACTTTTTTGTAAAGCTCTTTTAGTTTTAAACCTGATGTTTATAAGCTTCTTAGTTTTTGCAACAGTCTGTAAATACACACAACTTTATAATAAAATGCACACATTTACCTTTTTCTAGACTAAACACAGGTATGATCCTAAGTTAAAAACATATGAGGTTATCATGAGGTTGTTAACATCGCAATTTATCAGTGGATGTTTGCTGGAACTACTTGTTAACAGCTTGTTTCCTGACGGACACACACAGCGTGACTCCGGTCAGGAAGAGACCGGTCTCAAGTCAGCACCGCTGCAGACTCGCTGTTTGAGGGCTTGATAGTCCACTCCCCCTCCACACTGCTCCACACTAATTGCTTTGGAACAGCCCTCAATATGGCGGACCCTCCACGTGAACGCGCAAACGGAGGGGTAGGGTGTAGGGGGCGGTTTGGGAATGGGCCTCAGTGAACGCAGCACAGAGTCAGAGGTCACAGTGTCTGCAGTAGGAGGTCTCAGTTGTTACGGGGGGGTCCGTGCATTGCGCACAGAGAAGGGGATCAGTCTGTGGTATACAGAGCCCAGCAGGATGCCGGCCCCCAGCACCAGGACGCAGATAAGGCTGAAGGCCCAGCGGGGGCCTAGCAGGGTGTAGACCTGAGAAACAAACACAGGGCCCAGAGTCCGGGCCCCACTGCCCGAGGCCGTCAGCAACCCCATGTACAGACCCTGCAGAGAGACAGAGACAGAGACAGAGACAGAGACACACACACACACACACACACACACACACACACACACACACACACACACACACACACACACACACACACACACACACACACACACACACACACACTACGTAA